GGAGACTGCATGGATGGTGAATTAGTTGGTCCAGCTACCACACCCCTTCAACAGGTTTAGCTACTAGTTTTAGATAAAACTTAGCTGGTTGTAGCGGGGTGATTACCCCGCTCCTGCCCTGAAGGGCTTAAAACAGCCCTGGGGGAAGGTTGTGGCTGACAGCTGCTAAGCTGGGCTGATTGGGAAGCAGCTGCAGCTGGGCCACACCCCATCAGGCCTCAGCTGGCCCTATATAAAAAGGCTGTGAGCCAGAGGCCAAGCAGTCTTTCTCTGCCTTCAGAGGGAGAAGGGCCTGGTTGCAGTGAGCTGGAGACAGGCAGAGGAGCTCCAGCCTAGAAAGCCTTAGGCTGTGGCCTAGCATTGGGTCAACAGGTACTGGGGGTTGCAGAGGCAGCAGGTCCAAACCCAACCTTGCCAGTGATGAGTAGGCTGATACTGTAGTCTGCCCCAGTGAATGGGGGCTAGATGGAGACTGGCAGTAGCCATATACTGAGGTGAGGTGGGGATAGTGGGGGGGGGGTTCCCTGGGGAGGGGAGACCCCAGGGAGTACTGAGGGGTGTACTGCCAAGGGGCAGCACCCCAGATAAAAGGGCACTGGGGTCTGGGTGGGATATGGGGTCTGGAGGACAGGTGGACCACTGGCCTGCAGGGGGCGCTCCAACGCTGAATTGAGCTAATTCCCGGAGACAACCAGTAGGAGGTGCTGCAGGGGTGAGTCTGCTCCTCTACACTGGTTTATAAGTAAAACCATTCTCTTCTATCTGCCAGCCCTGCCAAGATGGAATATGAAAGTCAAACTGCATTCTATCTGGCCCATATAATCAGATTCTCCAGGCTGAGTTGTTGCACAGGTCTGAGGGCAATCCACTGATTTCAGAGAGGTTTAAATAGGTATAACCATCTTGAGTTGGGACCTGCAGTTAAATCTTATGGAAAAATACTAATAATACACAGGCCAGAACAGAATCTAGCTCAGTCCTTCTAGATTACCAACAGATGTAAAGTAGTAAAAACTTCTGAGTTGTCAGCTATGAGTCTGGGATCAAATATGTTGTGAAAAGGGCTACCATTTTTGCAGTCACTCTTTTGAAGTAGAATGGCACTCTGAATTACAGCAATTGACGAATCTAGGGACTTTTGGCTACTAGGATAATGTAAAGTATTGTACGTGCTCCCAATGAATCAACAATTATTGAACTGTTTTAGAGGGGAATCGTAAACAAAACATGCAGGGACTTTATATACTCTAGAGCAGTGATGGGCAATCTGTGGCCCACGGGCCGCACGTAGCCCATCAGGGTAATCCTTTGGCGGGCCACGAAACAGTTTGTTTATGCTGACCGTCTGCAGGCACGGCCGCCCACAGATCCCAGTGGCCGTGGTTCACCATTCCCGGCCAATGGGAGCTGCGGGAAGTGGTGGCTGGCCAGCCTGTGCCACTTCCTGCAGCTCCCATTGGCCGGGAACAGTGAACCGCGGCCACTGCAAGCTGCAGGCAGCCGTGCCTGCGGAAGGTCAGTGTACTGTCCTGCACCCCACCAGACAAACCGAGGTAAATGTACAACTTGCCCTGTCTGCACTAGGATTTTACAATATTAGCTATCGCATAGTAAAAACTCACTTGTGTTCCTGGTTTTGCCAGAGGATGTTGTGAAGGCCAAGATGATAACAGAGTTCAAAAAAGCACTAGATAAATTCATGGAGGATAGGTCCATCAATGGCTATTAGCCAGGATGGGCAGCGATGGTGTCCCTAGACTCTGTTTGCCAGAAGCTGGGAATGGGTGACAGGGGATGGATCACTTGATGATTACCTGCTCTGTTCATTCCCTCTGGGGCACCTAGCATTAGCCACTGTCAAAAGACAGGATACTGGGCTAGATGGACCTTTGGTCTGACCCAGTATGGCCGTTCTTATGTTATATGGGAGAAGCCTTGACTCTAACTCAACTAGTTTATAATATGCTAATGTGTCTATCATATTGCTGTGTCTTCACTTGAGCTTTAGAAGGTCTTAATTAGAAAGAGGATGTGATCTAACTTCTAGTTTAGACAAAGCCTATGTGTGAATAACCTAAAGAGGGGGAAAGTAGCCTAACATTTTAAAATAGTTTCAGTTAATTTAGAAGTTGTTTCACCAACTGTTAAATCAACCAAAAGTAGTGTGTTTATTTTATTTAATTTATTTATTTATATATATATATATATATATATATATATATATATATATATATATAT